TAACACACACACTCTGCATTCACTACACTGACACACACACTGCATTCACTACACTTACACACACTCTGCATTCATTACACTAACACACACACTGCATTCATTACACTAACACACACACTGCATCCACGACACTAACACACACTCTGCATTCATTACACTAACACACACTGCATTCATTACACTAACACACACACTGCATCCACTACACTAACACACACTGCATTCACTACACTAAAACACACACTGAATCCACTACACTAACACACACTCTGCATTCACTACACTAACACACACACTGCATTCACTACACTAACACACACTCTGCATTCACTACACTAACACACACACTGCATTCACTACACTAACACACACTCTGCACTCACTACACTAACACACACACTGCATCCACTACACTAACACACACTCTGCATTCACTACACTAACACACACACTGCATCCACTACACTAACACACACTCTTCATTCACTACACTAACACACACTGCATCAACTACACTAACACACACATTGCATTCACTACACTAACACACACACACTGCATCCACTATACTAACGCACACTCTGCATCCACTACAGTAACACACACACTGCATCCACTACACTAACACACACATTGCATCAACTACACTAACACACACTGCATTCATTACACTAACACACACTCTGTATTCACTGCACTAACACACACACTGCATCCACTGCACTAACACACACTGCATCCACTACACTAACACACACTGCATTCATTACACTAACACACACTCTGTATTCACTGCACTAATACACACTGCATTCACTACACTAACATACACTCTGCATTCACTACACTAACACACACACTGCATCCACAACACTAACACACACTTTGCATCCACTACACTAGCACACACTCTGCATTCATTACACTAACACACACACTGCATTCACTACACTGACACACACTCTGCATTCACTACACTGACACACACATTGCATTCACTACACTTACACACACTCTGCATTCACTACACTGATACACACACTGCATTCACTACACTGACACACACTCTGCATTCATTACACTAACACACACTGCATCCACTACACTAACACACACACTGCATTCACTACACTAACACATACACTGCATCCGCTACTCTAACACACACTGCATTCACTACACTAACACACACTCTGTATTCACTGCACTAACACACACACTTCATCCACTACACTGACACACACTCTGCATTCACTACACTGACACACACACTGCATTCACTACATTGACACACACACTGCATCCACTACACTGACAAACACGCTGCATTCATTACACTAACATACACTGTGCATTTATTGCACTAACACACACACTGCATTCACTACACTTACAAACACTCTGCATTCACTACACTGACACACACACTGCATTCATTACACTAACACACACTGCATTCATTGTAGGGCGGGAGGCCGGCCGGGCGGGGGAGGAGTGTGTGGAGGGCCCAGACCTTGTGCTTTGTCAGGGGCAAAAAAAATTCTGGTGGCGGCCCTGACCAGAGCTAACTCAGAGCTCAGCTGTTTATACGCGTGGACGGAACAATCCCCGTCTAAGGATATGTGCAGCAGTATGCTTCTTGGTAGTCAGTATGCTTCTTGGTAGAGACATAGAAAGATCCATTAGTGCAATATATACTGACAAAACAATTAAAATGAAGTATAAAATGATGTACTCACATTTGCTAGAGCACAACTTGCTCTAGTTGGTATAGCATAGGTGGTATAATCCCCACCAGGGAATGTGATGGTAACCAGGAGGTAAAGAAGTTGAAGTCCAAAATTTAATAAAGGATAAAAATATACCTTTTATTGACAACAGAAAATAATAAGATAGTAAAATACTTGGTAAATTGGTATAAAAGTCCCACTTGACGCTTTTCACCTATAGAAGTGTGGATAGGATCCTGGTTCCAGTCGTTTATATAGGATATATAGGATATATATATAGGAGATTATATAGGTTTATATATGATTAAAACATTGGATGCATTTTATCCAGATTAAAATGGAATGACTCATAGACAAAAAAAATAACTTTACCCATCTCTCCTATATAGCTGTTAATAGATATGCAACCTAAGAAAGGGGAGAACGCCAATTAGTTATATATAAATATGAATAGTTAAGATTTACATCATAAGATATGTTAACCCCTTAAGTACTGAGACAGTTGTACAAGTTGTGATCAAAACAAAACGTAAACAAAACATTGAATTTGCGCTATGTCTGTTCCAGGTCCTAAGTGTTATCAATCTGCATCACATAAGTGATGAACTAATTTAACCTCTCAGGTAGATCTTTGGCAGCAATTTCATCAAGAATTGCCTCGGATAATACTTCTTTAAATGCAGAGATCAAACCGCTATTAGTCCAGTCTACCTCAGAAGCCAAGATGCAAAATTCTATTGTATAATCTGAGATAGACCGTTTCCCTTGTTTGATATGCATTAGGGAAGCGTCATCCTCCCTGACTAATGGTTCAAATTTTAATTTAAATTCTGCAAGGAAAACCTGGTAGTTAATAGCAATACTCATATTACTCTCCCATAATGGATTGGCCCAAGTTAAGGCTTTACCTTTAAGCTGATTCAAGCGTAATTCACCTCTTTCATATTAAATGCACCCATACTTATTATATATCATTTTGTTCAGGAGAAACAGGACTTTCATGTCACATCAAACATTTATATATTAAACATAATTTAATATGAATAAAATGTAAAAAAAAAATAGAAAATTAAGAATTAGTTTTATTTTTTAGTTCTGCGTGGCAATTTAACTGTAAATGTCATAATACTGTTAGCTGTTACTGCAATAAAATGCACATATTTGTATTTAGTGAAGTCTCACCAGTAAAATAGCACCCCTCACGTACAGGTTTTATAGTGTTTTGGAAATTTACTTGGTCAAATTTAGCACATTAGATTTTTCAGTTTATACACATTGAAATTTGCCAGACTGGTTATGTTGCCTTTGAGACCGTATGGTAGCACGAGAATCAAAATTACTCCCATGATAGTATACCATTTGCACAAGTAGACAACCCAAGGTATTACAAATGGGGTATGTCCAGTCGTTTTTAGTAGCCACATAGTCACAATCACTGGCCAAAGTTAGCCTTCTAATTTGTGAATTAATGCAAAAAAAAAAAAAAACACAATCAAAATATGTGTATATGTGTTGAAACGTGCGTCGGGCTAGCGTTTATGCCGATGCACTTATTTTGATTGAGTTTATTTTTATTTTTACTCACCTGGGAATCTGTCATGTCTGGGGTCTCTTTTGAATATGCTCATTAAAGTGATATTGAGTTTAGAGGGTTAGGCTGCCTCGAAGCAGCAGTGGGGGATTCCTGACTAGTCCTTTTGTTAGACAGTTGCAAAGGAATACTATATTGCCACCTGCTATTTACTTTCGAGTAAGACAGCCTGACCGGGGACTGTAGCTCCTATGTTAATGGTGCAGCCAGGCTACCTTGTAGCTATATATTGAGGGGAGTAGGCTGACCTATACTTGCCACTTTAGCCTTCCTATTTCACTACTGGGAGGCTATCACTATTGAGCAGACTTGGATATTAGCCCCCTGGATGGCATTTAAGGTTTAGATTGCACTTTAGGCTATTGTGGAATCCAACTAAGATTTAGCCCTATTTCAACACTGCTAATACTATTCCAACAATTATATGTCCCCTTACATTGTTTAACACTGTAGCTCCATACCCATTATCTGGGAGTATATATACCAGTTATTTAAAACCGGACTGGATTATTGAGGCAACACCCATTATCTGGGAGTATATATACCAGTTATTTAGAACTGGACAGGATTATTGAGGCAACACCCTCTGCTTTTCCGGTCCTGATACTTTGTCCATTGTCTTCAGTAATTATATCACAGGCAGAGGGGAGGGATTGTGTACAGTATGTGGGAGTGTTATTCATGATCACACTGTTTCTGATTGGCCTGTATGTTTTGTGTCTGGTGTCCAACAAGTTCCAGCTGGGCGTCAGCCTTGTTGGGAAAATTGTATATAAAGCAAGCCTGTATCAATAAACCTGCTGTTCTACTTCACCCTCAATACTGAGTTCTGTCTCTTATTGGGGGAAACTCCTACAAGGGATTGCTATGCTCTTCATACTCCCTTGAATAATCACTAGCTCTTCTACGAGCTGTTCCTGCTTTGCTCTCTGAAGGAAGAGAGGTTCACCCACTGGAACCTGGAGCCTTGTTGTAGGTCCAGGGTGGGTAGGAGACGGCAAAACCTCAACCAAGCTGCAGCGGTTCATGGGGTCTGCAGTGTTTATGGTGTCTGGTGCGGAGCTGATGGTCCTTGGTGAGCACTAGGAGCATCCGTCTATGGAGGTACCCAGTCGGGGTGTGTGGCGAAACCAACCTCGCCACTGTGAACTGGAGAAGCCTGGTTGCTCGCCTGCTCCCTTTGGACTATGGCCCTGCAGGTTAAACCGTTTATTTCCCCTGCAGAACGGCTTATTTGTGTGATCTGAGTGCCATTCATCTAATAATGTGCACTCAGATCCCAGCTATCTGGGGATATGTGAAATGTCTGTGTGTTATGTGTAAATATGACTTTATGTATTTTAAAGTGTTTTGTGTCTTTTTGCAACCATGTGCTTAATGGAGTCTTGTGTCTATCCTGGGAGATAATTGAATTACTTATCTCAGGATAGAAGACTCTGAAACTGGTTTGGGCCAGAAAGCCATGCTTCATTTAGTCACAAAGGACTTTTTACTAACACGAACCCCTTGTCACAGTTTGTGCCATTTTTGAATATGTTGTTCCCCTGAATGGATTGATTGTGAATATGTAATTTTATGTGAATGTGATGTATGGTTTTAGAGTTATGAAAGTTAGGTAGAAAGTATGTTTTAACTGTATGTGTAATTGAGTTTCCTCTCAGGATAAGGGGAGGGAATATGTGGGATGTAACTGTGAGGTGATTGGTTGTTTTGTAACGCCCTGTGGGCTGTACTATGTTTGTGGATTGGGAATAAAAGAGACTGTATGTGACAGTACAGGGAGTTCCTGTTTTAACCCTCAAGTGAAGTGTCGTCTCATTATTGGGGGAAGGATTTATTGTATGCTGTTCCAGTTTGACTGCTAGGAGAGTAAACCTATTCGTATGGTTCCTATTCAACTGTCCACAGCATTCATATGCTTGAGAGGATTCATATGCTTCTCCGGTTCGGTGGTTGTGGTGTCTGCTGCAGTGCTTGGAGTCCTCAGGAAGCGCTAGGAGCATCCTTTAGCGGAGGTACCCAGTCGGGGTGCCAGGCGATCCGTTACATTGGTGGCAGCCGGGGGATGGCGTCCTAGGGCGAGGTAAAAACGGCTTCGGAGACACAGTTAGGTGGATTTACAAATTGGGGCAAGCGCTAGTACCCGTGCAAGCGACCCTATCTACAAAGAACTAACTTCAGCAGAGCAAGCATGGGCGTGTGGCTACACTCAGGAGGGAGTTTGACAGAGAGGTTAATGAGGTGCTTTGTCTACCTTTGGACCCAACCCCCAGAGCCGTGCAGCTTCGCCAGGGAAACTAGTAGGAGATACCTGCAATCTCTAGTGGGTGGCCAAAAGGAGTCCCAGGGAGCTGAAGGTGTAGTCCTTCCTCCCCAGCGGCAGTGTGTGTCCCAGGGAGCTGAAGGTGCCGTCCTTCCTCCCCAGCGGCAGTGTGTGTCCCAGGGAGCTGAAGGTGCCGTCCTTCCTCCCCAGCGGCAGTGTGTGTCCCAGGGAGCAGAAGGTGCAGTCCTTCCTCCCCAGCGGCAGTGTGTATCCCAGGGAGCTGAAGGTGCAGTCCTTCCTCCCCAGCGGCAGTGTGTATCCCAGGGAGCTGAAGGTGCAGTCCTTCCTCCCAAGCGGCAGTGTGTATCCCAGGGAGCTGAAGGTGCAGTCCTTCCTCCCCAGCGGCAGTGTGTATCCCAGGGAGCTGAAGGTGCAGTCCTTCCTCCCCCAGGCAGTGTGTACCCCAGAGAGCTGAAGGTGTCGTCCTTCCTCCCCAGCGGCAGTGTGTATCCCAGGGAGCTGAAGGTGCCGTCCTTCCTCCCCAGCGGCAGTGTGTATCCCAGGGAGCTGAAGGTGCCGTCCTTCCTCCCCAGCGGCAGTGTGTATCCCAAGGAGCTGAAGGTGCAGTCCTTCCTCCCCAGCGGCAGTGTGTACCCCAGGGAGCTGAAGGTGCCGTCCTTCCTCCCCAGTGGCAGTGGGTATCCCAGGGAGCTGAAGGTGCCGTCCTTCCTCCCCAGCGACAGTGTGTACCCCAGAGAGCTGAAGGTGTCGTCCTTCCTCCCCAGCGGCAGTGTGTATCCCAGGGAGCTGAAGGTGCCGTCCTTCCTCCCCAGCGGCAGTGTGTATCCCAGGGAGCTGAAGGTGCCGTCCTTCCTCCCCAGCGGCAGTGTGTATCCCAAGGAGCTGAAGGTGCAGTCCTTCCTCCCCAGCGGCAGTGTGTACCCCAGGGAACAGGGGCAAAAGTCAGTCTGCGCACCCCAACCACAGGACAAAATAATGAAAGGGGAGACAGCTGGTCCCCCTCTCCACCAGCAGAGAGAGAGAGTGTCCAGGGAGAGGAGCCTGATACCCCCTTCTGTGGCAGTTTACAGTTCAGAGAGAGGAGCTTGTTACACCCTCTCTCCAGTGGCAGTCTAACCCAGCAAGGGGAGATGTTACACCCCCCAACAGTGCAGATGGGACTGTAGTCTCTGCACTTACAGCACAAGGGATAGGGACAGTCGGTCCTGTTCCCCAGCCACAGAGCGGTGTATCCAGAGGGGAGACAGTCGGTCTCTCCCTCCCACAACCAGGCTCCCACCAGGCTACTTCGGTGGTAGCACTGGCATCAGGGCAGAGTACCGCTGGTCTCTGCCCACTCAGCAACCCACCAAGGCAGCCTAACAGTTGCCCACACAGTCGTGGTGAGGTACCTGGACATGGACAAAGTTTTCCTCTACCCAGGTGTAGTAACCAGTTATTGTGGAGTGCTGGGCTGTACTGCTGTTTCTGTTTTGTGGGTGGGTTGCTAGTAACCAGGGCACTGACGGCAGGAGGTCAGATACCCTGTTAGTCCTGTAGTTGGTAGGGAGAAGTGTGCGTGGCTCAACCTTACCGCCACTGTGAACTGGAGAAACCTGGTTGCTCGCCTGCTCCCTTTGGACTATGGCCCTGCAGGTTAAACCGTTTATTTCCCCTGCAGAAAGGCTTATTTGTGTGATCTGAGTGCCATTCATCTAATAATGTGCAATGTGCACTCAGATCCCAGCTATCTGGGGATATGTGAAATGCCTGTGTGTTATGTGTAAATATGACTTTATGTATTTTAAAGTGTTTTGTGTCTTTTTGCAACCATGTGCTTAATGGAGTCTTGTGTCTATCCTGGGAGATAATTGAATTACTTATCTCCAGGATAGAAGACTCTGAAACTGGTTTGGGCCAGAAAGCCATGCTTCATTTAGTCACAAAGGACTTTTTACTAACTTTTGAACCCCTTGTCTGATTTGTGCCATTTTTGAATATGTTGTTCCCCTGAATGGATTGATTGTGAATATGTAATTTTATGTGAATGTGATGTATGGTTTTGGAGTTATGAAAGTTGGGTAGAAAGTATGTTTTAACTGTATGTATAATTGAGTTTCCTCTCAGGATAAGGGGAGGGAATATGTGGGATGTAACTGTGATGTGATTGGTTGTTTTGTAACGCCCTGTGGGCTGTACTATGTTTGTGGATTGGGAATAAAAGAGACTGTATGTGACAGTACAGGAGTTCCTGTTTTAACCCTCAAAGTGAAGTGTCGTCTCATTATTGGGGGAAGGATTTATTGTATGCTGTTCCAGTTTGACTGCTAGGAGAGTAAACCTATTCGTATGGTTCCTATTCAACTGTCTACAGCATTCATATGCTTGAGAGGATTCATATGCTTCTCCGGTTCGGTGGTTGTGGTGTCTGCTGCAGTGCTTGGAGTCCTCAGGAAGCACTAGGAGCATCCTTTAACGGAGGTACCCAGTCGGGGTGCCAGGCGATCCGTTACAGGGTGCCAGGTGATCCATTACAATGCTCTCTAGCAATTTTAAGCCTTTTTTTTTCCCAGATTAGCCTTGTTGATTAGTGGTTTTCTTAAGGCTACACAGCTGTTCAGTCCCAATCCTTTGAGTTCCGTTCACATTGTGAGTGTGGAAATGCTCTTCCTTACACTATTAAACATAGCCCTGAGTTCTACTGTTGTTTTTCTACAATCTGATTTCACCAAACGGATTTTTTTCCAACCACATTTCTTCCTCGAAGACGATGGTTCCTCACTATCCTTCCAGTTTTTAATACTGCGTTGAACAGTTCTTAACAATATTTTAGTAGTTGCTGCAATCTCCTTAGATGTTTTCTCTGCTTGATGCTGTCACATATTCATCCTCACCTTATGGTATCAGCGATAGTAAGTGCCTTCCTGACAATAACGGAAGTGCCGCTCAGCAGCCCTGTGCCAGTATACCTGACTCCTGCAACATGTTGATGGATGACATCAACGTGCGTGTGAAGTCACGCAAAAGACAGGCACGCATGTTCTGGAGTCAAATGCCGGTTACGGACAATTGGATCTGAAGGAGGCTTATTTAAACAAATTTTTACTTCTCCTCATTGCCCTGTCGTGGTTTCCCTTAGTTGGTTACACGAGAGTGCGTTCCTGATCATGTGTTTCTGGTTATTGGCTTTGGATTTGTTTTGACTTCCCTGACTTCTGGTATGCTTGGTTACTGACTTTCCCTTATCGCTGTGTCCCATTCTGTGTCCCTGACCTCAGCTAATATATCGACTATTCTTAGGTACGTTAAAACTGGCCATTCTAAGGTCCGGTTAGACGTTACCCTTAGTCCTAGGTGTGACACAATTCTGCATGCTGGATCAACTGTAATCCTGACATTACGACATGGCTATAGATCCTGCAGAATTGTGTCAGCATATAGCAGCTTGCGAAAGAAAGCTAGAGGAGAATGATCACCGTATGGATAAGTTTGCCCAGGCCTTCAGTACGCTTCTTACTCGGACAGCTGAGGTCCCTCCGATTATCTCACCTTCGCTTAATATACCTCCACCTATAGTATATAAGGCACCTACTATCTCCCTATCTCCTCCCCTGCATTTTGATGGTAATATTCAAGATTGCCAGGGATTTTTCAATCAAACAGAGTACCACTTTGAGGCCTCACCGGGATCTTTTCCCACAGATAGAGCTAAGATTGGGTACTTGAATTACTAGAAATAGAACCAGACGTATTGCTATGTCACTGGCACCTCGTTTCTCCAAATCTATTATCCCTGACCTCTCTTTACAGTCCGAACCTGAACCTATGCAGTTAGGGGTCACTAGACTGTCAGAGGCAGAGAAACAGTATAGGAGAAAGGAGGGTCTGTGTTTATACTGCGGTAAAAAAGGACATATGAGAGATGCTTGTCCCATACGTCTGGAAAACTTCCCCACCTAAGAACCTTAAAGGAACAGGTCTTAGGTGTGATGGATATGTCCTCTGGTAATAACCAAAATAGATTTATCCTTGACATCACTGGCCTTTGCAACCAGAAAAGCTTTTCATGCAAAGCCCTGATGGGCTCAAGTGCGGCAAATTTTGTTAAAAAACACTCACTTAATACCTATCAAGGAGAGATCGTCACCTTTGGCTGTTGAGGCTATTGATGGGAGACCTCTCTCTCAACCTTTGATTACCCAGGAAATCATGCCTATTAACATTTCCATAGGAGCTTTACACAAGGAAAACATAACATTCCAGATAATTGCTTCCTCTTCTTGTCCCATCATATTAGGATTTCATTGGCTCATTAAGCGCAACCCTCATATTGACTGGGCAAAGGGGGAAATACTGGAATGGGGTAAAGACTGTATAGAGAGATGTGTGTTACCCATTAGCAAGGGAGTGGGCATCATTACTTTGCCCACTACTACACCTCAGATTTTTTCGAAGTTCCCATACAGTACCGGGAGGTTAAGGAGCTATTCAGTAAGACTCAGACTGATATTCTACCTCCCCACAGATCATATGATTGCTCCATAGATCTGCTACCCGGCGCTATGCTCCCAAAGGGGGCAGTATATGCCTTATCTCCACAGGAGAGTAGAATTATGGATGAGTACATCAAAGATTCCTTAAGTAAGGGCCACATATGTAAGTCATCCTCGTCTGCTGGTGCAGGGTTCTTTTTTGTATCTAAAAAAGATGGAGAATTACGCCC